CAGCACAATAAGCTGTGTGAATAAAATCTGATGCTGATGACAGTTAATGACATGAATGATAACAATGAGAGTCAATGGACATATTTTGATCAGAAGACCTCACTTGAATAAACAGGCGAGCTAAAATCCTTCAACCCAGAAAACGAGCAATTATTCTGCAAATTAGTCTAAAAATGTATTTTCACTTTGCCTGTGCAATATTTATGCAAAATAGCACAATTTGATTTAAGGAGGGGGGTCAATAAACCATCAATTATCAATTATTCTTTTAGATATATCTTACGCTGTTAAATATCATTTGGCAAAGAAAAATGTCATAAATTTTAGTTTTAAATTTCATCAATTTTGTATATCTTAATATGGAACTCTTCTTCTAAAGGAGATCAGTACAACCACCCAGCCCTCTTAATTACCTGTGAATCAGTAGGCTCTTTATCCTGACTCTGAAATAAACTGGACTTGAAGCAGTAAAACTCACTGGTCTCCTTACAGAACGTATCAAAGCACTCCCGCTCAGAGTCCCAGTTTACCTGAATTTCCCAAAGAATAATACACACAAAATGTAAAATTGACAAGAGTTACATTTCTTATTACTTGTATTACCTATATGGAGTTCCCTCCTAATAGAAAATAATATGAGATTTTCTTTATTCATTTCAAAACTTTATGGATATAATCTAATTAGATAATGAGAGAGATTAAAATTTTATTTGTTTGTTTGTTGTTTAACATCCCTTTGAGGTATGGAAAGACCCACAAATTCATGTCTACTATAAAATGTTTTAAAAAAAATTCACACGTGTAACTATTCAACTTCTCTTCATCAATAGAATCAAATCCCCAGCCCATATTTTTTCCTCCAAAACGACGAAAAATTTGAAACCCCCACAAAATGATGTGATTTTCCAATCCTTACCTCTGTGGCCAGCCTGAGTACAAACATTGGGAGGCCCTCCATGTTGGGGAGATAGTTATCAAGCAGGAGGGGCAGCGTGCAGAGATTTCCCTTCTGTAAATACACAATCATCAAATACTTGATTTATGAAAATGAAATGTATGGAGATAATGAATACCTGGTAGTATTCAAGCTCAAAAGTTCTTTACACAATACAAATTTGGAGCAGAGAAATCACAGATGATCAGGTGCCATGGAGGAGTGAGCATCCCCTGCGGACAGGCCAACCCCATCATGTGCTCCTTGTCATGATCCGGAAATAACGGAAAAATCCATTCACAATTCAATGTAAATCATGGCTTAACAATTAGTATGAAAACCTCAGTCAACATTTAACTCAATGATAAATTGTTTTTGATGACATGGTCACTATCAACCATACAACTTTTTATCAGCCCACTAACAATCAATTGCATATGCTAAGGGTCACCATTCCTCTTTTTACTCAACATGTAAACCTTACTTTAAAGCTAAAATTTATGAATAAAATGCATAAAATTTGCGGTTTTAACTTCAGAAATGTTCTTTTTATCTCAACAATAATGATCTTTTATCAAAAAGAGAGTTATCTCTCTTGTAACAAGGTCAAAGAATGTTAAATTATTCAGAAATGATTACCTCTCCTGACCGACTGGCTAAAAATGGCCCGAATCAAAACTTTTTTATCTCTAGGAAACAATTTTCCTTTTAATTCCTTATCTTCTCATCCCATACCTTTGTTGAAATTTTTCTGAGAAAATATTTTCCCACCTACCTATTATTTTTATCCTGAGTCAGGAGGAGGCAAACAAACATTACCTTAAAGATGGCCTGAATCACAGTCATTTTAAGTCTTTTGTAATCTTAATTATAAAATGTTCAGTGACCACCCACCTGGTCAATCTCTATAGAGAAGTAATCGGACAACATCTCTGCTTTAGACGTTAAGAAATCCACGATGTACTGAGCAAGGTCATGCTTTGGACCGTCCGCCTCCGTCCAGCCGCTCTCTTCTAGGTCAAGGGCAAGCATAGCAAGGTCGTATATAGGGGCCGGCTCCTGGGGGAAAAGGAATAAAAATTTTTTGGAAACTCTTTTAAAATCATGATTTCTTTTTCATCACAATTTAATTTCCTTAACTGTATGAATCTATGAGATTCTACCAAATTAGGATTGAAGAAATAACTAGCTGCAGAACTGAAGCTTTCTGTTTGAGAAAATTCGGACAGATAACGCAGAGAGCTACAGATCCAAGCATTGTAAAAACCTTTGATTTACGTTGCCGCTTTTTTTTGGTCGCTCACTGCTGGTATTATTTCTTGCAAGTTATGCTTTACCCTCGTTACAGGAATGGTATCTGATAATTGACCATACATTTACTCCAATTTATGCAGGATTTCCAACATGTCAGTTTTTTAAACTGACATTCAAAAACCATATACCATGTAGGGCTGTTTGGGACCGTTGAAAGGTAAAGTATAAAAAATAGGAGCAAAATACATGCTTTATTATCGCATATCATTCTTACAGCTGGGGAAAGTAAAAAATAAAAGAAATGATATCCGAAGTGAGCAACAAAAAAGCAGAGGCGTAAAACGAAGGTTTTAACAACACTTGGATCTGTAGCTCGATCTCTGCAATATCTGTCCGAATTTTCTCAAGCAGAGAGCTACAGTTCTGCTGCTAAGAAATTACCTGCTATGAAGTGAACAATATTTACAACCACAATACTTACTGAAAGTCGGAGTATTCCAAAGTTTCCGAAATCAAATATCATCAACTGGTAGAAAAGTTCACGACTGAAAAAAAAGATTTCTTTTATTTGCATAATGGTTGCAGCAATGCCTACACATCTAAAGAAGGACTACAGAGTAAAAATGATAAAGACAAAGTAAAAATGCTAACACTACATTTGATCAAATGGACCGCTCTCTGACAAAACCGGTCTTAATGACATAAGCGTTGACGTCGAGAAAACGTATTTATTGTGACGTCAAATTTTCGCGTCTAAAACGCACATGTTTCTTTTTTCCTCCTTTCCACTCTCCGTTGTTCTGTTTCATTTTCAGAGTGAAGGTATAAATGAATACGTGTTATGATCGTCGTATCGTGTGTGAAATAAGTTTCTTTGCCATTCTAAAATATTTTCTCAAGATACCCCGAGCGATATTCTGATATAACTTACACTGTATTTAATACTATACTGTTTTATGTGTGATTTTTTTTTTCTGCATTTCGCGAACAATTTGAAGGTGAATATACACAATATATAAATACTTTATCAAAATTTCTTCAGTTATTTTTCGTTAGATTTGATATCCTAGTGAAATGAATAGTTAATACAACGCTGAAACAAATTATGTGTCAAAATTTCTATTCATACGTAAACCCGCCTCTATGAATGTAAAATTTTATGATCCACCAAAATTCACAATTGCCATCTTTATTTACATTACGTCACTCGAGCCCGACCTCAAAACATAGCGATTTAAGGGATAAGCACAGAAAGAAGAAAAGACGATGAAATATCAGTAAGTATAATGCTTAATATACTTTGAAAGTTTGCATACATGAAAATTGACAATATTAAATGAGTTTGAATAGTTTATGATACGGCTTATTTGTGCGTTCACGCATCTTCGCTAGCCAAGGGTTTCTGATACATTACTCTCCTCATGAACGACTATGAGGAGACTAGCGTATCAGAAACCCTTGTATAATTGTAGCATTATTTTGTTGGTTGATGGATTGAAATTCATTTGTTTTCTAATACTTTTTCATGTATAAAACTGCAGTGCGTGTTTAGATTTTTTTTCATTGTATTGCTTGCAGTTCATACACATATTTTATTTAGCACATACATGTATCATATACTTTGATACTTTCCACCTTTCCACTGTTCAACCTTTCAACAAGTGTTGCTTCTGGATTTTAGGATTTATTTATAATTACTGATTATACACTAAAAGAATAATATTTTCATTTAATCAATAGCAAAAAACTTTAAAAACGAAGTGTAGTTTCCATGCGCGAATGCCCCCCCCCCCCTTAAAAATTGTAGATTTTACCCTCCTCAAATTTCATAGTAATCAAATATTTAAAATTTGAGGAGAAATTATATTTTTGAAGCTTAAGAAGCGAAAGCAGTCCAACCCACCCCTCTACGGAATAAGTTTAACACACTTTTAAAGGAGTGTACATTTTGGGGGGGGGGTGGGTTTGGTTTTATTTTATTTTTGCTCGTCAACAAATTTATGGTTTGGATGTAATTTTTACTTATGCAGAATCCATGCACCCCCTGCCCAGAAAAAAAATTGCGAGGCTTGGATCCTGGCTTGAATCCCCGATACATAATGATGTTAAACCATTAGAGATAGAGAGATCGGGATACTGTCATACTGATATATCACAGGAAGCCGCATGTGGACTTGTATGAAATGTGGATAACATACATGACATTATATTTATCTTCATGACTAATCCCTATCTGATAGCTAACAAGATTGACCAACTCACCCCCATAATAAGAAAAATGTAGCGATCATATAATTTTAAAAACATTCTCCGTCAAATCTATCATTTTTATTATTTTATACTTTAATTCATAAGCATAGATATTCTCCGAAAATAAGTGTAAAGTGTTTTCAGAATGGTAGATTTGATTCTATCATGTCATGTCATATCATGAAAAGTAACTCAAATAAACTCAATCCGAAAGGGGGGGGGGGTGAATTAAGTACATGTACTTTATCCACTCTTGAGATGTCTGTGGAAGTTCATAATTTAGTTTGTGTTTTTATTGAAAACACACATATTACATTTATTTGATTGATTTTTACACAAGTTCGATCATGGAGAGATTTTATCTAAAGTTGCACCAAGAGAAAACGAGTGATTCTTCATGTTGTACTTTATATCAGATACAAACTAGAGGAGGGGGCAATAATTCACAATTATACACTTAATAGAAAACAAAGCGAATTCAAAGTTAACCCTTAAAAGCTTTATCAGTATTAACACTCTTCAAAAGAATAATAACATAAATTTTGGTTGTGCACCTCAAAAGTAATGTGACTTTTTTTTTTGTTTTGGTTTTGTTTTTGTTAAATTTTTCTGTAAGGCTGATCTCCCTCTTTCAACGAAAATAACCTCCTACAGCGTGTGCATATCATGTTAAGTCTTTAATCTAATACTATTTCTTTTCAAATTTTATACAACAAGTTAAATTCACGCATGTTAATTAGGCCATCTTTAAAATAGTGTTTTCTTACTCTCTCCCGACTTGGGGTAAATCATTGGATCATTAGGTAGGTCGGAAAAAACATTTCCAGAAAATTTCAACATATTTGTTGACGGAATAAGAGGAATAAAAAGAAAAAAATATTGTGTCCTGGTAGGTAAAAAAAAGTCTTGAGTCGGGCCATCTTTAGACAGTCGATCGGGAGAGGACAACCATTTTTAAAAAGATGGTCTATTTAATTATTAACGTAACACACATTTTTTAAATAGATTTATGGTTTCTTTTCAGGGTTTGACAGTCTCAACGTTTAACACTTCTCCCGAACGCCATGTAATATTTATTTGACACATCCGATACCAATGAGTTATGTACCTCGTTATGCTCTCCAATGGCCTTTCCACTTCTTGCATGACTCTATAAAATCCAGAAGTTTGGTTTCCGAAAAGACGATAAATCTCTTTTATTTTAATAATTTCTCAACATGAAACTGTAGTGCGTAAAGCTACAAATACACATGGGCCAGATTCAATTATTTAATTTATTCGGTTTCTTTGAAATACAGAACTTTTATGTACAGTTCATACTGATAACTGCAACGGCCAAAACAAGATTTTTTTTCATTAATGGAATATATGTATATGTTTAATGTGGCAAATTATGACAGGGCAGCAGGACAAATCAGTTTATGATACAAGTTCAATGTCTAACGCTTGCTGCATTGCTTAAAAACTTAGGAGACTAATTCATTGATCAGACTGAAACAATCGTGGAACAGTTTTCACTCGGCTCTCGGGTACCCCGCATGACAGCGGCTGGAATGAAAGACTTTCCTACATCTCTACGGGGAATTCAAATGTACTCAACTGATTACAAAATACAAAGCCTGGTATTTTGTCTGTAGAGGAATAAGGTTCAAAAGCAGAAGTAAAGATCAGCGTATTAGAAGACGAGAAGTTTTACCCAGGATTGACCAGTTTGTTTACAGACCAATGATCTTATTGACGCCCGCAAACATTTATCTTGTCACAATTTCCAAATGGACCTGTTAACCGCTTGAATAACGTATAATGATACTAAGCTTTGTTTTGTATATTAATTTTCTGTATCTTTGTTATTATAATTATTTTGTTAATCCTTTATCAACATTTATCAATAAAAAAAAATTGTAGTCAACCTTTATGAATCGATTGGATATACATAAACACAATGTCATTCGCTGTGCAACATGTTCGGATACACTCAAATAATAATTTAATAAATGTGCTTCATATTTTTATTAAAATGTGTTAGGGAAAAAAAAATTTATGTCAAAATTTAAATTATGTTATTCTATTTTATAATCAAATTGATATTAGACTTTGTTTCAAAAACGTCATTTCTTTTTACAAAGATAACGTTATTTAAAGTCTTTGTATCTAAGACGTCATTTAAAAAAAAAAAGATAACGTTACCCAATAACGTCTTTGACGTTATTGTTTAATTGCAACATGTTTCGTTCAAACACGTATAACTTTAAAACTATAGCAGATTAAATGCTCAAATTTTGACTGTGTGTCCCAAATTTGCTGTAGATTTGAAATATCTAAAAAAGTCAATTTCGAAAATTTTGTCATTAAGACCCCTTTTCCCAGAGAGCGGTCCAAATGATAATGCTCTACTCTTGCTTCTGTTGTAATTCCCTGACCTGAGTTTGGTTGTGTTCACCAGGTAGAGTTTGGTCTGATGCTGCATCAAGGAGAATTCTTCATTGACACACCCCACAAACTTGTGGAACTGGAACATCTCTCTCAAATCTATAAAAATTTTAATCGAATTATAAGACCTTAAATGTCAAGAAAATGTCAGAGGTCATCAATGAATGAAACAATGTCCTTCTTAACATTTATAAATGACCTTGACCTGCTACAAAACTGTCTTTTGACCTTTAGTGATGGGTAAAATAGGATGGCCAAGGGGAGATAGGGATAAAAAGTTTCAATTTGGTTGAAGCTTGATTTAAGAAGTAAGAAATAAAAACTGACTTTTATGCATATTTTCTTTGATGTCTTCCTGAAGTGTGAGAACACTGGTGAGCTTGACAGGCCTCCTCTTCTGCTGGGAACCACAACTGGGTAATACCATTCTATAAATAGCACAACTGGGTAATACCATTCTATAAATAGCAAACAACTGAGGCCTACTCAAAAGAGCAAGCACATGCAAATCTTTCTATTGGAGGTATAAGGGATTTTGGCAAGCGCTCACAAACGTTCGCTCTGTTGACCTGTTGAACAGGCCTCTGGATAATACAATACTTTTTACTTACTAGCAATACAAATCATTCAATACATTATTTCGTTTATTTCTATTTTGATTATACACTCATTACTCAAATGTTTTCTTCTTCAACTTTATTTAAGATGCTACCTACTTCTATTAATCAATGATAATCAAACAGAAAAAGTTACAAATCCCTCTGATTTTCACATGGAGCATGTATTTCTTATTTAATATCAGATTTCAGATTTCATGTGTCTGGTATTCATACTTACACATCACCACTGGGTGAAGTCTCCATCTGGTTGTCTTCAGATTGGGTGGTGCCTTTAGAGACATCTTCAGTGGTGGTGCTTGTGGTGGCAGTGGCACCGCCGGGGTTGACTGGTTTCATAAAGGCGTCCAGCTTCTGTTCTCTGCTGTCCGTTCTGACCATGTGATGGGCATATGTCTTCTCTGTTCCTAAAAACAGTGAAATTCTCCAACAATTTGAACTTATAATGGACAAAACAGTTACAGATCACTACTATCCTTTTCTAGAATTTTTCAACAATTCAAAAAATGCTTAAAAGACACATTCATTCTTTTATTTGGTGAAAGATGTTCTGCACTGTGACATATCAATTTATCAACACACTGTTTAAGCAGTAAATAATTCTATGCCGCCTGTGTGAAGTTTTTCATACTAATTTTTAGTCCATCTTTTACACACTGAATTGACATGATTTTCCGTTATTTCCTGATCATGACAAGGAGAACACAGCGGGTGTGAATGGTCAGCAGGGGATGCTCACTCCTTCATGGCACCTGATCCCACCGCTGATTTTTTGGAGGTCCGTGTTTGCTCTACTCCTATTTGGTATTGTTTTATGGACTTTTGAGCTTGAATACTGTTCATTATCTCCATATAATTTATGTAAATTTTAAATTTCTGATCAGTTGATGAGTACAGCTTCATCAATCAATCATGTACAGCAGTTCTCAATACAGACTGAACTTGTCTTGATTACAATGCAACGTTTTATTCTGTCTGCTCCATGAGTTTAAACAGACAAATATCATATGAAAATCTCTGAAATACAATGAGTGCAATGTCACAGCAGTTCACCTTACTTTGACATAAAGATATCATAAGATGGTCTGCCTAAAAAAATGGGCAATACTCGATACCAATAAAATGTTGAAAGAAAATCCTGCACTTCAGATGCAAAGTTTTAAGTTCCTGAACTATAACACAGATTTTAAGAATGTATTCAATTCTCCCACTTAGATTCTATACTTTTAAAAATAAAATTTTGAACAAGAAAAACAATCAGATGTTCTTTTATCATAAGAGCTCTTTTTCCCCTTCAAGTTGCATACAAGATACACTTCTGATCTAAAGTGGTACAATTACTGGTGTCCATGCCCTTGAAATATTCTGTTTTTTCAATCCACTTAAGAACAGCTAGTGCACAAAAGCATCTTCCTTTCATCTTCATATAAAATGAATCAAAACCGAATTGCTAGCCAATGAGTACTACTGGAGATAGAATTCAGCAGGTGAGTTTCTTTACATATAGTTAAATTGATAGAAAACAATTGCCTTACACAGGTATATTGGTAATAATGATGTCATTGGCACTTGATCTTAAATTTGGTTTCCCTATAGCTAAGAATCTTTCCAGATATGCAAGCAATCTGATTAAAATCAGGTCAGATTGATATGCAAGGTACATATAGAACTAAACGAGATCTCTAAACGTTTCCTTACAATAAATGGGTCATATCCCTTAGACTTTTTTCCATTTCAAACATTATGATAGCACTGCTCTTATAAAAGATTTTCTATAAAGCAAAAATTCTCTGAACTACCATACCGATTTAGCAATGGAAGCATGCAATAAATATTTTCTCAATAAATCAGCTTTCAAACCTATGTAAAATCATTTTAACTACCAGGACATGACAAAATCAGCTTTAATACCCTTCAAAAATTATTCTTGTAGAAAGATGCATGCTTTCATTTCAGTGACGTACATAACAATTTTGGGAATTCCAAATAGTCTGACAAATGTCTGCCTTATTACAAATATTACTGTACAAAAGATGTATCTAACTCCCTGCAGCTACTTTAATGATCTATTCTATTAAATTTAGCAAGACCCCTAAACACTTTTCCTGCTGATTTTTCCAAAGATAAGTACCACAAACTTAATCAATATAAAGCCAATGCAAAATTCCCATTCACAGGATGAACACTTCAAGAGGGGATGAAATTAGGTCATCTATTATGAATATACATTTGTATATCAAGATTTATTAATATTAACATGAATTGAAGTAACTTTGATCTCAAGTTTTACTTAAAGCATTGTGAAAAATTTGTGTAAAATATACTTAAGAGGAATTTTTCAGCTCTGAAAATAGATACACTTAGCTATAGATGAATAGATGAACCATCATTGAGTACCTCATTACCCCCCCCCCCCCCCAACACACATGGTAAAGATGAGTTGGAAATGATAAAGACATGAAGATTTTAACTTAATTTAAACATACCGCAATTCTAAAAGTCTGACAATAATAGATTTAATTTCTATAAATATTCTTACCACCACTAGATTTAGAAGAATTTGGATCCTCCTCCTTACTGTCCAAGGATACAGGTGCTCCTGGTAGCAATGCCTACACAGAAAATTTCCTCATTAATGATTTAAAATCTCCCAGCTAATAAACTTGCAAGCAGTTGAATTTGCACAAATAGCTGATATAATTTCTTACAAAAATCACCAAGATCTATAAATGGGAGATGATCAACTTTTTACAGGTAATTCAATATTTCAATAGATCAAGATTTGTGTTCATGCAGTAAAACTATCATTTACCCAACGTATAGCAGTTAGTATGAATAGGCCAATGGGTATTTCTTGACCTGTGTGCATTAAATCAGATGTGTACAGTAAATCTAGACCAAAACAAATTACATCTGAATTATAACAGAAAATCTAACCTGTGTTATGTAAACAAAGATTTGTATAGACTACCTGTGTAAATGAATCTGGATATGAATATATATAGTAAATCTAGACCTGTGCACTGTACATATAAACCTATGTACTGTAAATCTAGACCTGTGTACTGTAAATCTATAGACCTGTGTACTGTAAATCTAGACCTTTGTCTTGTAAATCTATAGATCTGTGTACTGTATTTCTATAGACCTGTGTACTGTAAATTTATAGATTTACACAATACACAGGTCTATAGATTTACAGTACACAGGTCTATAGATTTACAGTACACAGTAAATCTATAGACCTCTGTACTGTAAATCTATAGACCTGTATATTGTGTAAATCTATAGACCTGTGTACTGTAAATCTATAGACCTGTGTATTGTTAATCTATGGATCTGTGTACTGTAAATCTATGGATCTGTGTACTGTAAATCTATAGACCTGTGTTCTGTAAATCTATAGACCTGTGTATTGTGTAAATCTAGACCTGTGTACTGTAAATCTATAGACCTGTGTACTGTAAATCTAGACCTTTGTCTTGTAAATCTATAGATCTGTGTACTGTAAATCTATAGACCTGTGTACTGTAAATTTATAGATTTACACAATACACAGGTCTATAGATTTACAGTACACATGTCTATAGATTTACAGTACACAGTAAATCTATAGACCTCTGTACTGTAAATCTATAGACCTGTATATTGTGTAAATCTATAGACCTGTGTACTGTAAATCTATAGACCTGTGTATTGTTAATCTATGGATCTGTGTACTGTAAATCAATGGATCTGTGTACTGTAAATCTATAGACCTGTGTTCTGTAAATCTATAGACCTGTGTATTGTGTAAATCTAGACCTGTGTACTGTAAATCTATAGACCTGTGTTATGCAAATCTGGACCTGTGTAATGTAAATCTATAGACCTATGTACTGTAAATCTATAGACATGTGTACTGTAAATCTATAGACCTGTGTATAGTGTAAATCTAGACCTGTGTACTGTAAATCTATAGACCTGTGTACTGTAAATCTAGACCTGTGTACTGTAAAAGACCTGTGTACTTTAAATCTAGACCTGTGTACTGTAAATCTAGACCTGTGTACTGTAAATCTGGACCTGTGTACTGTAAAAGACCTGTATATTGTAAATCTTGTCCTGTGCACAGTAAAACTAGACCTGTGTACAACAGGGGACAGTTTTAAAAAGAACCAAAATTTCATTCTGCTCATAACTTTTTTACATTGATATGAAAATTGTGTGTTTTTTTTTAAAGAATTTCACAAGATTTCTTATGCAAGCATTTTCAAACAAAACTATTAATTTTACATTTTTGGTCATAGTCATAAGTTCTCTTGTAAAATGGGCCCCAGATCTGTAATTTGTAAATTTTACAATTTCTCTGATAGACTGTAACCTGTGTATAGTAAGTCCTGCTCGTGTTTGCTCCCAGAAGCTTGGTTTCTACAGCTGACTGAATGCTGGCAATGATGGCCTCCTCATGGAGAAAATGAACCTCATGTTTTGTAGGGTGTACGTTAACATCTACATTCTGAGGAGCAATTTCCAAACTGAAAACATGGAACTTAAAAATTAGTATAATGCTCTCTAAAGACTATATACTTTAGATTCCTAAATATATATGAGGAACAAGTTACTGCATAACTTCACAATAAGCATCATTAGCAAAATTAATCTACTTCCTTTCATTTACATTTAGTCCTTTCACTATACAGTCAATATTCTCTAATCTGGATCCACTGGTTTCATACAAATTTGCCAAAATAAGACATTTCCAATGATACAAAAAAATCCTTTTCAATCTCAATGTAAATTAATTAAAAAAAAAACTGAAAAGGGGAAAGGTACCCAGCTTATTAGTGGAACTCCAACCATATGCATACATTCATATTGATAATATCATAACAGAAATATTAGAGCAAAAATTCTTATGCCTGTAAAACTTGGATAGTTGGTGAAGAGGGAAAAAAAGAAAAGTCTTTTTCTCTTTTTAGATATTTTTGGAACAAATAAATCAAGCTTTTATTGCCAGTTTTTGGATCAATGCCTTTAAAAGTAATCAAGATTTCTATTATTTTGTGTTTTTAAAAATGTAGAAAATGTATTGATATTTTATGTTTGCAATTATTAGACAAATACAATAAAATGTCAAAAATAACATCAATTATCTGTACACAAAAGAATATATGCTAGTAGATAATGAATTTCACAATAATGCAACAACAAAAATGACTAAGTAGGGCCCATTTATTTCAACAATGACTTCAATATACTTTTACAGAAACCACATCATTGACCTATTTTACACCTGACAATTGAACTGGTAAAAAAATAAACAAAAAACAAAATAGTATAATAACTAATTAAAAAAATCCCTTATCTCCTTTGTGTATATGCATCATTTTCTAAAAACAATGAAATCATACCTATGTTTATTTCATGCAGATTTTCTATCCTTTTCCCCAGAACAATGATTAACATTGAAACAATTTTCTCAGGATTGTTCCCAAAGGATTTTCAAATGATGCGATCTATAGTTAATGGTCATTATTTTTATATGAACAAAGTCCTGCTTAATAATATAATGGGTATAATTTGACTTTTCAATTACATGTTTTTCATGGCCAGGGTCCCATGTGTCTTGACCTACGATCTGTTATTATGTACTGATCGTAACAGGTCTTTAGGACGGAAAAAACATCCATGTGCTTTACTGGCTCCAAGACCATAAACTTAGACAAGTTCACTTCTGATCTCAATCAATTTCAATTTTTTCACAATAAATTCCTTATGTGAAAGTTAGACCGAGATTAAAAGTGAACTCGTGCAGTTTTATGGCCCCCCAGGCTTGACCTCAAGAAAAAAAATTTTGTCATTCTGAATTGAAATCATTAAAATTGGAAAATAAAAATTAATTCTACATTCTAAATTAATTAGAATACACATTTTGATGACCTAAGTGATCTCATTCTATCTACTGACTAAACTGAGTGATTTGAAGAAAAAAAACTTGTCATAATTGACATATCTGAGTATGTTTCTATATAAATATGACTAATCAGGACTGTTCTTGAGAAGTAAGTTAAGGATTTTCTCTAAATTTTCCTAAGTAGATGTAAAACTTTGATTACCTGTTTTGGCCAAAACCCTACCCCATGGGTCATGATTTGAACAAAACTTGCACTAGGTAAAAAGGTTTCACTTCATATTTATTTTTGTCCCCCGCTTGAAAAGTGGGGGATATTAATTTGGGTTTGTCCGTCCGTCCGTCCGTCTTTCTGTCTGTCTGTAACGCTTTCGTTTCCACACGATATCTCGAGAACCCTTTGAGCTTTTGCAATGAAATTTAGCATAGCAACTCCCTATGGACTAAAGAAGACCCCTATTGATTTTGAGGTCAAAAGGTCAAAGGTCAAGGTCATAAATAAGCAAATTCTGTCTGTTAAAACACTTTCGTTTCCACACGATATCTCTAGAACCATTTGATCTATTGCAATGAAATTTTATATAACAACTCCCTGTGGCCTAATGAAGACCCCTATTGATTTTGAGGTGAAAAGGTCAAAGTTCAAGGTCGTAAATTTATACATTCTGTCTGTGTGTAACACTATCATTTCCGGGCGATATTTCAAGAAGATTTTGAGCTTATGCAATGTAATTTTATACCAAAACTCCCTAGGACGTCTCTCGCCCCTCTCAAAGTGCCCCGCCCCGTTTGTTTTATTAGTATTTATAGTATTACATGTCGCTATTTTTAGCGCAGGGGCATGAGGAGAGTTATTGCGTATAAAACAGGTTCTCGGCGGACTTTATGTTCTTATTACATCTATTAGAACTGTTTAATAAAGGCTAAATAAATCAAACACCATGGATTGTGTAAAATTTTGAGAATACCGAATATGAATATATACATGTATGTGACTTTAGTTCTGCATATACTTGATATCGGCTAGAGCGATTCCATGGTCCAGTGGTCATGTCACTCGCTTCGCATGCGAGAGGTCCCGGGATCGAATCCCAGTCGAACTTGTCTTTTTTTTTCTTTTTTTTTTTAAATACTTTTCTTTTTTTATTAAATGATAGTATTCAGCATGTGAAATGAAAAATTTATGAGGTTATAAAATCATCATTACAGTGTGATAAATATTCCATATAAAAAGAATCTTCTATACACATAATAAAGAAATCTTTATATGCATATTGACATACATGTATTTTATTTGCTTCAGTATACATGTATACATATAATAATTCTACAAATTCAGTCAGGGGGATCCGACTTTTTCCCTAAGCGGGGGACACGAATTCTCTGAATTAGCTTGTTTTTATTTTCTTACCTTGTGGCTCTTGAGAAGAAGAATATTTAAGAATGACTTCAAATTTTAATATCTTAAAATATTGAAAGGTTCAAATGTCATTGAAATTGAAACAATGTAGTGTGCCTAATTCTACTATTACAGAAAAACTTGTTTAATTAGAACAAACACGGATATTGCAAAGTCAGGGATATAGCTAATTGGATCTTGGATCCCCAGCAAAAGAAATTTAATGAATTCCATATACGGAATAATAAATTATGGATATATAGCAAAGTAATTTGACAGGTCCCAGTGACTTGGTTATAACTGAGTTATACTGTACCTTAGATAGGCAAAGGGATGCATGTTTTTGGGGAGATAAGCTTGGTAGATGGTGTCCACAGCTTTACGTAGAGAGGAGGAATCTACCAGTCGGTCTACAAATACACAAAATAATTAAGCACAAAGATATGAGAAACACATATCTTGGAAGGAAGTAGAGTTGAACTTCATTGAATACTGTAAACCAACTTTTATTCGTGACGACTTTATTTCGCAGTTTACAAGGGAAAAACAAGTTCGCGACAATTCATTTTCGTTTTTAAATGTGACCTTTTCCAGGAAATTGTTCTCTCCTATACCTGCTACAAGTCAAATCTTTTGTTATTACACGAATACATCCTATAGTAATCTTATCTGTTGTGATTAATTAAAGGATATTGTTTAAATTAACTTTAAGACACATGATGCTGCATATCAAACTTCAATACTTACGGTTAATAAAAAGAAGAAATATACATTTCTTCAGAGAGTAATTAGCATTCGTCACGTAACCATGGCATCTGAAGGATAACTTCTTGTCCTCATGTTGAATTTCCAATAGTTCTCTGTAAAGAGACACCAAAAATTTTTTTATTTAAACATAAAAGTTCCCTGAATTTTTACTGTATAGAAACATTATGAGTAGATTTCTGATTAAAGATATAAAACAAGTTGCAAGAAGCTAACAGAATCAATGTAATTGCAATGTTGATAAATAAAGTAGATCTCGTCAATTCTTACAACTGTAAAGTTGCAAGTTTTAGCAATCTGCAAATAACACAAAATATATATGAATTATTCTAAGGTTTAAATAATCATGACTTTGGTACAAGTTGGTTTTTGATGTCCTTTAATACAAAAAGTTTTCCATTTCCAGGGTTCTCCACAAGAGGTTTTACCATGACGACCCGCCATATTTAAATTTATTTGCGCCAGGTTAAACAAGCTGCGCCATGGTTAAAATTAGCAGCCGCCTTGATTAAATTCTATTGCTTTTCAGTCCTGACCCCTACTTTTTTGATGACTAATGAGTAGTTAATTGTGTTTATACAACAACTGCCATGCAGCTCAAGAGAAATTCAGGTCGTGCTAAAACAAACTGTCATTAATCGGCGACTATGCTGTGGAGCGTGACAATAAAGAGTCAATCAGCTGATGATCAATATTTTGAGAGCTAATTATCCTCTACATACTAAGTAAATAATTTTGGGGAACTTCAACATGTTCACTTCATGATTAGACCTAGATGATTTGTTTATAAAAGATGATTGACAATTATAAGTACGAGTTTGATAATCGTCATGCATCCGATTCAAGTTTTTGTGCCAGAAAAAATTACTCTTTCAAAATTTCATATTCCTCTGTATTTAATCAATTTCCCATGCTCTGTTTTTCAAGTTTAACTTCATTATCTTTCTGATGAAATGTACATATAGTACATAAGTGACAATTGCCGTCTTAGTTTTTGAGTTACTTCCTGTTTTTATGAAACATCGCGTGGCGCTACTTTTCGCACTGGGACACGTGGAGAAGTAAACAAAGGGGTAAACTCGGTTAAAAATGCAATATTTAGAAAAATAGAACGTTTAGAGAAAAAAAAAAAAGGAACACCTTTCCAAATGTTCGTTTGTGTGTTAACTTAAAATAAAATCTCGCTAAAAATAAATTACCAGTTTTTAAGGACAAATCACTAAATTTGCGTCTCGCTAAAATTTCCACTTATACGGTACTACCCATTCATCAGATCTGGTCATATTTAAACAAAACATTTCATACAACAGGCTAACAACTTATAATTATTAGTTTCTGAATAATATTGCCATTGGTTACTGTATCAAATATTTTTCTGTAAATTCCTTCAAAGGTTTTTACAGTTTTGGGCAAATTTTTGTACATTTGTGAAGTAAGATACATAATCCTTTTTATTTCAGTTTATTTTTTTTTGCTTTAAAAATTGTTGCACAGGTTATTTTTAAATGTTTTGTGTTGCATTGGTTAAGTTTAAAAATTTTAAAAACCAATCATTGATTAATGAAAATTGGGAAGTCTAACACGCATTTGTGTTTTCCGTCACTTTTTGTCTTCTCGCAGCTTCCTCCGTGGTTAAATTTTCAAATTTGGAGAACCCTGCATTTCCCTAGCTGGGAAAAAAATAAACAAGAGGCCCAGGGGCCACAGCGCTCACCTGAGCACATCAGGCTTGAATTTACTCCACCCCCCCCCCCAAGGCGTTCATCATTTGAACAAACTAGAATCTACACTACCTGAGGATGATTCCATATAAATATCACAAATCATAGCTTTGAAGTACTTGAAAAGAAGATTTTAAAAGGTTTCCCTATATATCCCTATGTAAAACTTGGGTCGGCCATTTTGGCCCCACCCTAGCCCCGGGGGTCATGATTTGAACAAACTTAAATCTACACTACCTGAGGATGATTCCACATGAGTTTCATCTCTCCTGGCCCAGTGGTTCTTGAGAAGAAGATTTTTAAAGATTTTTCCTATATATTCCTATGTAAAACTTGGGTCGGCCATTTTGGCCTCACCCTTGCCCCAGGGGTCATGATTTGAACAACATGAATCTACACTACCTGAGGATGATTCCACATGAGTTTCATCTTTCCTGTCCTAGTGGTTCTTGAGAAGAAGATTTTTAAAGATTTTTCTTATATATTCCTATGTAAAACTAGGGTCGGCCATTTTGGCCCCATCCTTGCCCCGGGGGTCATGATTTGAACAAACTTAAATCTGCTCTACCTGAGGATGACTCCACATGAGTTTCATCTTTCCTGGCCCAGTGGTTCTGGAGAAAAAGATTTTTAAAAGATTTTTCCTATATATTCCTATGTAAAACTTGGGTCGGCCATTTTGGCCCCACCCTAGCCCCGGGGGTCATGATTTGAACAAATTTGAATCCACACTACCTGAGGATGATTCCACATGAGTTTCATCTTTCCTGGCCCAGTGTTACTGGAGAAGAAGATTTTTAAAGATTTTTCCTATATATTCCTATGTAAAACTTGGGTCGGCCATTTTGGCCCCACCCTAGCCCCGGGGGTCATGATTTGAACAAATTTGAATCCACACTACCTGAGGATGATTCCACATGAGTTTCATCTTTCCTGGCCCAGTGTTACTGGAGAAGAAGATTTTTAAAGATTTTTCCTATATATTCCTATGTAAAACTTGGGTCGGCCATTTTGGCCCCACCCTTGCCCCGGGGGTCATGATTTGAACAAACTTGAATCTACACTACCTGAGGATGCTTCCACATGAGTTTCATCTTTCCTCGCCCAGCGGTTCTGGAGAAGAAGATTTTTTAAAAATGCCATAAATTTTTCACAAATTCATAATTATCTCCCCTTGGAAGGGGGCGTGGCCCTTCATTTGAACAAACTTGATTCCCCTTTACCCAAGGATACTTTGTGCCAAGTTTGGTTGAAATTGGCCCAGTGGTTCTTGAGAAGAAGATGAAAATGTGAAAAGTTTACGCCGACGCCGACAACGACAGACAACGGACAAATTTTGATCAGAAAAGCTCACTTGAGCCTTCGGCTCAAATGAGCTAAAAATTTAGAGTGCTGAAAAACAAAATGATTGGGGTAGGAGGGATTTTGATGCGTCAGTCAGTTAATTTGAAATATATGACAAAGGTCAAGTTCAATGGTCACAAGGTTGATAATAATTGTATTTAATAAAAGCCTTAGTCCCAAGCAATACATAATATGTTAAAAAAAAAACTTCTTAGAGTTCTCAACATAAAGAGTTAAACATACTAGAAAGACCTTGAGCAAAATGGTCCCCATGTTAAATGATCTCCATGTTACTCTGCTTTGCATGTGACCTAAAAAAAAATCCTTATAAAAAACCACTGCTTTTTGTGGTATGTGGCCAAGTTATATCTATCATCCCATACCAAGTCAGCTTGATTATTGTCCAATGGCAAAAAATAAGCCACTGTAGAGTGTACATAATTTTTTTTTTACAGGTTGTGCTATAACGACAACTAAAAACACATTTACGTTTCATGCAGTCTTAAGTAATTTACACATTCGTACTAATTTCATTTGTTTGTTTTTTTTTCTATTTGCAGCTGTTTTTTTTATTACGATGGACGACAGTTGCCCCCACTCTGTCCTGTTTTAAGGGATTTTTGTTCAGTTTTTGTTGGCATAATTGCCAATTGGCTAAAAAAATAGTCACCGATCGAGTCTCCACAATTTGTATTACAGGTTGGGCTTTGATGACTGACAACTAAAAACTTGTATGTTCAAGGCAGTTTGACCAAATAACATGTTCATACTTTTATACAGTCAAACTTGTCATAGCAGTCACCTCTATCCATTGGTCACCTGTCCTATGTGGTCATTTTATTTCCTCCCAATGCAATTTCCTACATAAAGTAACTCTATAAAAGGTCACCTGCATAACTCAGTCAGAAGTCATCAAATTTCATTGCCATTTTTTCTATGTTTTAGTGGCCATTTTGTCCAATCACATGACCTGATCTGGAGTCAGCTGATTCCCAATATTTGTTATTAAATGTTAATAATTGGTCAAGTGCTGCAGTATCAAGAACAAAATAATATACATGACCTATATCTAAAACCAGTTTTATTGTTGGATAACCATGGAAATCAAAAACTGATACACATCTTAAGTTAAATTGAAATCAAACCATAGCATCTTGAAAATTGTTTAAAGACAGATGCATAGAAAGACAAACAGATGGAGATGCTAGATGGACACCTTACTATTGCAAAAGTTCTTTTGATCTCTGACCAGTAGAGCTAATTAAAATATGTCAGCTTAAATAGGAGCACAATAATTGCCCATGGGGATTCCATCAGTTTGTCGGAAGACCTGATCTCTGAAGACTACATAAATGTTTACACTGAGGAACTCAGGCATCCTTTCAATATCAACTTCAGAGTACTGTTGTGTAGATTCAGTGTTTTTTAACAGAGTAATTTTGCTGATGACTGATTAATACAAGCTAGGAAAATTTGCAACTACCATTTTAATTGAAGAAGCAGTTATCTCTGATATCAAAAAGCCTAGTTTTTTTTTAACAAGAGGAATGGTTGTATAAAGTGGAGAGAATTTGTCTTTTGATATTAACTGACCATTGCATTTGGTAATTCTAAGTATTATTTAGAGTACGAGTTTCCTACTGTATCAGAGATACAGGGCGGGGCTTGTGGCGAGAGCGATAGCTCGAGCCGGGCCCCGCCCTGTATCTCTGATACAGTAGGAAACGAGTATTCTAAATGACTTGTGACATGACCTTTCTAATGACCTCACCAATTTACATTCATATTTGGGTACATATCTCTCAACCAATCAGATGATTTTAGCAGAAAGTTGATTTAGTATCCCATTTTAAGCATTCGCAACTGAAATGCCGAGTGAGGTGGACGTGCATGTAATTATTTACTATTATTTTAAAAATAATTATTTGAGGGATGCATTATATAATTTGTTTTCCAAAAAAATTATTTAGATTTGATTGGGTAGGTTTCTTTTTTTTTCTCTCAATTCAGCTCTTGCTGACATTTTTTTTTATTTAAGCTATGAATTAGTGCAAAACATTTTTATATATAAGAATATTTTGAAACAAAAATGCTTTGAGGATATCGTATTCTGAGAGAAATCTCCGACAATATCCTCTAACCTGTAATCATATACAAAATTGAAATAAACAGATGAAAGAAAGGGGGGAGGGTATTTTACTTCAGTTTTTAATAAAATGTAGAGTAACCAAAGGGGGGTCCAGTACTCACACTTGCCCCCCCCCCTTCAATCCTACCCAACTTAAAGTTTTTTTTTTCTTTTTTCGCTTTTGTAAATTATTTTTGCCAATCGTATATACATACTCTTTTTAATTTATCAACAAGTAACGATTTCACGCACATAGTGTCTTGGTTGATTATAAACCTACCCCCCCCCCCCCCAAATACGATTTTCAGGGTTTTTTTTAGGGGGGTCAAGATAGTCCTTTTTGATCTGCCCCACTCCCTCCTTTCTAAATTTTTTGAATCCGACATTCATATAAGTTTATTTTGTAAAATTTTATTCTTAATAAAATCACCTCAAATTTTGAGTAATTACTAACAGTGCTATCATGCGAATTGAACGATTGTTGTGTCTGAATATGAATACAGCTTTCCGTCATCGCTAAAAATAAACCGTACTGTATCTTTGATATTTTGCAGATACAGTACAGTTTCTGCTCATTTGCATAAGAAACGCCCACAAAAAGTGTTCTGTATCGCAGTTACAGTACGGTTGACTTCAAAGGAAAACTCGCCGGATCATGTCACAAATTTTCTAAAATTTATCTGGAGTTTTTGAGAATCCACATCTAATTTATATCATTTCTAGAATATGGTGTAGAACACTACGTCTACAGTTTCTCTGTTAGTGTAGCGAGTGTGCGAGCGGATCTAACATCTACATGTAATTTTAATTAGATTGCAGTTTCTCCTGAACAAGCTTTTTTCTTTCCACTGTTGGAAGGTCTCTCAATACAGGTTTGACTGTATATTTCCATAATCTGAGTGACAAAGTGTTCAGATCTTCTTTTTATATTAAACCCAATGTCTGGCATAATCTTTGGCAGACCTTATAATAGAAATAAAGTTCTGTAGCCAATTGCTAGATCAGGGCTCCCTGTACTCAGGTCCTTTTAAAGACGGTCGCTTTAGGGTCTTCATTTTTAACTAGACTGATATCAACAGTAATTATGTGTCCAGTGGGAATATAAAGGAAAGAAGAAATTAGCATGAACACTTGAGAGGATTTTGTTTTAGATGTTTAATTATCTGAAGCTCTGTAAAGATTGTTTATAATTGAAAAGTTTGGAAGCACGTACAATTTGTAAATAATAAAATTAATTAATGTACCTCAAAAAAGTGTAAGTCTTTTTGATTAATTGATTGACTATAGCTGTATTACTCCGAGTCAGCAATATTTCAGCCGTATTTTGGCGGTATGAATTGAAATACTGTATGAGCCTACTCTTCTACAAAAATCAGATAAACAATCTTTGGCATGCTAAGGGGGACAAACTTTTCTACAACTCATATTGGTGAGAAAAAATCTGCTAGTGAAAGAGTTAAGAGCATGACCATATTAACCCAGGTGAGCTCTGTGGCCCATGAACCTCTTGCATAACATTAAGTGCTATATTTGCTTCCCTGATATGTTGGGATTTGGCCAGAAATGTCAATTCTCCCTGTATATATGACATGGTTATGTCCATCTTAATAAGGGCATTTATATAACCCACACAAGTGTTGGCTTAAAGCATCACTGTATAATTATCACATAATGCAGCATATAAAGAAAGAGCACAAAATTATTATCAATTGCAATGGACAAAAGTTATAAAAACCTTGTCCTTGCATTAGTGAAGAAATGCGCCTTATGGTCCTCTATGATGTAAACTTCTTTTGACTGTCTGCAGCTATTTTTAGACACGGATTATGATTTCTCCCACTTTGGGTGACAGTGCGACATTGCCCTAGCCCATCACCTTGACAATACAGCGACATTAATCAAGCCGTAATGACAAATTTAGCGACACTCCACAGAGTGTTGTGTTTATTCTTACAAAAAAAAGAAAAAAGAAAAAAATAGAAATTGCATTACGATCATCAATCGAGGTTGATAATTGACTTGTTGGACTGACATTTATTTGGATTTTTTTTATTTTTGATCTAAATCGACAAACATACCTTGTTTGATTTTTTTTAATGTACTGGACTTATTTGAACTTTCAGGTAAGGACAATTTTTATGATTTTTTTTTTTTTTCAATAAATTTATTGACTGAAACAGCACTTTTTTATCCACCAATTTCTTTGAATAAATTCAGATTTTATTTTCCCTTAAATTAAAGTGCAAGAATAAATAAATTTACGTATACTTAATTTTAATCTTAAATAACATATTTTCCTAATTGCACATTTTCAACTTTAGACATTTACATATAGTACAAAAACATATTAAACCAAAAGTGAAAAACAATTTTAAATTATTAATTTATTCATAAAAGTATTCAAACATTTTTTATTTCAAAATTTCATACTTTGGCATGTCCCATAAGTTTTTTTTTTTTAAATTAAGGGCCACAGAAACACACTTATTGGCACTATATTTTTGTAGAAGGGGGAGGGGGTAGAATAATGAAGTGAAGAATGTCTGTTTGTCAAATGCATGAAGTTTAAAATTCAGAATGAATTCCAAAGTTTATTCACTAATTGTATGACTTCTTGAAATCTTGTGGTTTTTTTTTTTTTTTAGTTTGAAAATTTCAAATCATTGTGATATGAAATGACAACACAATCAAATTTTGTGTATTTTTTTTTTAAACTGGAATTAATTCAACATTTTATAAAGACAAACTTGCCAAAGTATTTTTTACGGAATTTGTTAAGATTGAAATGCAAAATTTTCTTCTCCTCAAGTCTGATAATAAGATAGGGGCTATATGGAAAAATTGTTATTTCAATCACATACCGATTAGGAATCATAATGTTTATCAAGAGAAATAATGTTAGTATTTTTCAAAAAAATCATATGACTAGGACTAGAATTTCACCACTCTGCAATTTTTATCTAATTAAGATTTTTAAAAATAATTAATTACAATCTAATCATAAAAAAATATTAAATAAATTAATATAATCTAATAGAAAAATAAGACTTTCACAGCTTATATAGACATTTGTTATAAAATGAGGGAAATTTTTGGTATCTATATATAGAGAGTCATAAGATTCTTTAATGAAAAGAGTCAATCACTGAGCAGTATTTTTTCAAATCTTGTTTCAATTATAACTTTCCTTTGAAATAATCTTCCATGTTTACATGCAGTACTAAATGCATCTCATAATTATACCAAATTACTCATATGCCTCTTTTAATGTTTTTTTCTGAACCAATAACTTTAAAGGTTTTCAAATATAAGTTTTGTGAGTCAATGACATTTGCTAATTTCAGAAATGAACAGTTATTGTTCTAAAAACAATGAAAATATATGCATATATGTGGTTTTATTGTACAAGGTTTTGAAATGTCATTAAAAACAAAACCACTGAAAGAGTTAATATTTAGGGTTTTGCAAGTGTATATACAGAAATAAACATGCCAGACATTTCTAAGGAAGTTCTAAATTAGCGAAAGACACAAGAACCCACATTTAAACGTAATCACAGTATGTACCGTACATAGTTTATTTTCATGAAAGGATATTTAATGAGGCAATCTTTAAAATAATGTTTGCTTGCCCTCTCCCAACTCAGGGTAAAATTATTACATCAACTAAGGTAGGTGGAAAATCTTTTCCCCAGAAATTTTCGACGAATTTGATGATGGGATAAGAAAAACATATTGTGTCCTGGAATGTTAAGAAAAGATTTGAGTCAGGGCCATTTTTAGCCAGTCGGTCAGGAGAAGGCACCCAAACAATTTATTAAAGATAGCCCAATAAAGGTCTTTTTATCATTTCCCAATTGAAAGATTGACTTCAATGGTCCTCACACATTTCTGTCTAAATTAAGTACCGTAACAGAATTCTACAAATCTTAAAAGGTTTTAGTCAGCTTCTCGTCATTTACCTTATAATTGAGTACAGTAAACCATTATTCACTCATCTTTTATTCCTGATTCTTCAGTTAAAAATCAGTCCCCGACAATGAGTGTTTGCTACCAAGGAAACATTTTCTACAAATACACAACATATAATAAATGTTCCGTGGCAATAAATATTTGGGAGTTCAAGAAGGTCTCGAAGCTCACAAATATTTCTTGCATGTGAATATAAGTTGGTTTGCATTAACATACAATTTTACCTGTATATATACCTGCAAATGTAACTAATGTACTGTGAAATCAATAATAATTTCTGTGGGAGTTAAATTTTCTTTGTTTTTGAGGCATGTGGAGAGACCCAAGATTTTTGACCATCATGAAATTATAAATATCATATGCCTCACCACAAAATCAAGTCCCCACAAACCATAATTTTTCCTCAAACCTCGAAAATTTGAACCTGCAAAAATATGGGATTTAACGGTATTGAAATCTTTTGAAATCAGTTCTTACAAAGGTTTCTCATTCAAAAGCTATAGTCGTATAGCATCGTTGGAGCTCTAGGATCATTTTTTGGTCTCCCGGCCGTCTGCCTCAGGTTTTCATACATAGATCAACATTCACCGGTTAGACGTAGCTACTGGTATCTATCTAATAAAATCAGTAAGCACTTTTCCCTTTATGCACTCTTAGACATCTCATATGAGTGAGTGAGACACCATGCTCATTTGCATCTGTCTGCCAATTTTACAGGAAGATCAATGTCAAATTAAAGGAACTGAAAGCATACCATGTTAAATACTATTTTCATCTTCATTTATTGTTGTAGATAATGCACATTAAATAGAACAGACATGCATTATGTTACCATATTTTTCAGCTTTTTAAAAAATAAATCATATACTTTTTTAAATCATAAAAACTTTTTTATTTATGTGCATTTACTGACATTTAGAAACCATGCAAACAGCATTTTTTTTTTTTTTTTTTTAAATATCATATACCTAGTAGTGTATCAGCCCTGATACTTGGTGAGACATATCCCCTGGGAAGTAGGGCAGTCTCACCCTCAGGGCTGAGATATCTCTGTCTCAGCCCATTGTTAAGGGGCTGTCTCGCCCTCGAATGTTAATTAATGTTAAATCTCCTAAAATTTCCTATGTTTTGGCAAAAAATTATGTGGAAAAAATAATTTTATTCACAAAAAAGTTAATGGAATTGGACAGCAGGCAAGGCCTATTTTAGAACTCCTTTTACAATACTTTAGCACATATTTAAGGTCTTTAAACCCTTACAATTCTAATGGTTAAAATTATAAAAATTTAATTTATTTTCATTTAATAAAGTTTAAATTAACCAATTATTTCCAAAAATGTATAGGTCACCACATTATTTAAGATGGGAGACATAAAATAAGCAGAAGCATATGTCAACATAAAAAATCATAACACTTTTTTGTAAACAGTATCATAAATATTATGTAAAAACTGAGTCAAATGCATAATAATGATGCTGAAATACACGCTATTCTACGGTACTTTTGAATTAAGAATATCATGGAAACTATTTTACATTAGAAGTACAATAAAGAAAATGCCTGAATGAATTAAGCTACCTAAGGAGTTATTGCCCTTGTCAACATTTTTCAAAGATTGAATAATTGATTAAATAAAGG